AAAAAAATAAAGGAATGGGATAGCTATAATTGGATAAATTCGGCATATGAAAACACCAAAATCAATGATTTTTTTTCAGTGGCTGTGTGACCTTGTGTCTGACACATTCATATGCAAATGACTAATCTGTGAAACAAACAGGGGCGGAGACAAACCACTCAAATGTTTGGAAACACTCATTGTGTGTCAGATAGCTACTGATAACACATCCTAACATTGCTTTGTCTTGAGTTTATCTTTGAAACTTATAGGCACACAGATTAAACCTGTGTTATTGAATTTGGAAAACACTACTGAGGCTGTCTTGCTTCCCTTCAGAAAATCTACATTTTAACCAACTTACATGACATTCTATGTTATGTTGACTTTATCACATGAAAGTTTATAGTGCATTTCATCAATTAATAAATAAATGTGAAAATCGTAATTTTCAACACAAATAATAGTCTCGCTACCTTAAGAGATATGGGTCTAGAAGCCCATTCATTAAAACAAAATGGCCGCCAGACAGCCATTTTGAATCCGATCTGAAAAATAAATGATGTGCATCAGGAACCTGTAATGTCTAATATATGTACCAAGTTTGAACGAAATCCATCCATACATGCCAGAAATGCTTGATATTTTTTCTAGCACAAAAATGGCCACCATTTGGCCATTTTGAATAGGATCGTCAAACCAATATATCTGTTTATCTATGACATGATGTATAATGAATATTTAAAATTTGAACATAATCAGTGAAAGCAAGTCAGAGATATGGCACGAGAACCACATTCATTAAAACAAAATGAGCACCAGTCGGCCATTTTTAATCTTATCTGAAAAACAAAATGGCAAAAAAACTGACGATTGAGAGTTTGCAATGGCAAAAAAACAATTGACTGAGAGTTCGAGTAACCACAGTCCCTTCTCTATAGTTGAGCATTGCTGCAGTGGAAAAATAAAAAACAGTTTTGAAACGTCGTTTGAACCATCAAAGGTATGCCAACAGTCAACCAATGGTAGATGTGGTAGATGTGGATTCACGCAATCAAGATTTGACACAGCATAATAAAAGTCAAACTCTCTTGCGAGGATGTTTCATTTGGTGAATTATTTGAGAAAAAAACGTTGTAACAGGATGTAATTCACAGTGTTTCGCAGAGCCATTGTATTCGTAGTTTGAATTACAAAACGACCCCGAACGTGGCGTGCAGTCTGCAGACAGTTTTGTGAAAAATACGGTTAGAAAGCTACACATCAAAAGATCAAGTTGAGTTCATCATCTGCTACATGAATTCAGTCTGTGATTGGATAATCACTTGACGCGTAGGTGAGATCCCATACCCAGTTGATAAGTTTTATATTTAGCATATAGTTTTTTTCCCAATGATTATTTTCTGCATATGGCCCGCGATTGATCCTTTTTCGATCGAATAGTTGTTGGGCGTTTACTAACTACATACTTCAAGTTTCAGAAACGGATCATATAGAACTATGTGCATTCGTCATGAAACAAAAACTGAACTGGAAACATCGAAGCTACCTTCAGAATTGACATACATTTACCTCCCGTGGTATGGGCGAAGCTTAGTTTTTTTTAATTTGACTGATTATTCAAGTACAGCAAACGTTCTTTGTACACAGATTGTCAGCATGTGCGTTTACAATAAAATAAAATAAACAAGTCATTTCTGGCGACAAGACAACTTGTGAGAATCTGAATTCAAGTCGGGTATATTCACAGTTCCATCTAGAGTGACGTGGTCTACGCTGCTGTATTCAGTTTTAGGACCTGACGTCTTTATTAGCGAGCCGACACTCTAAATTTGTTACACCAGTTGCCTTAATATTTACAGTAGTTCATTTACAGCTCGTTCGAGCACAGTCCCTTTATCATGTGGTTCGAGCTTGCAGTTTGTATCATGGGTGACATAAAATAAATGGGCCAGGCAACAAAGTTTCTATTTGTGACAACAGGCATTTTCAAAAGAATAATTACCACAGAATTGACACACATTGAAACATGGTCTTCCAAATTAAAAAACAATGTAGTCTACGGTCATGGCAGTAACTTTTTAAGATAAAGGTTAAAATATTATACGGATTAGATCATGGGCGGATTTAGAGGGGGCCGCGGCCCCCTTATTTTTAACAACCAACAGGACTTGGCACCATCAGCACCCGCGAACTTGGCTTTCGGCCAACTAATCAGCCCCCCTATTCCAGAATCTTAGATCCGCCCCTGTAGATACTCTTTGAGTAAGAAAATTCTCCTTCTGCATTCCAAAATTCTCTACTGAGCTATAAAATGGCTGCTTGAACAAATTTTTACAAATGCTCCAATGCATATTCGGCCATTTTAAAATTGTTATTGGTTTATTTATATTATCACGAACTGGAACATTGTTGCCGAGCCCTTTTGACTTCTATTACAATACAAACTGCAAGTAAAAGGGACTGTAGCTAGTTCATGTAGCTGAAATGAGGTCATGTGGACTAGTTAACGTGTACTGCTAATTACGGCCCATTACAGGTGTTGTACTCGGGCTGGTGTTAATCATCGAACGCGGGTGAGGTTATCACCTGAAGAAAAACAAAAAAAACAAGTTACTGACTTAGATGTCTTGTAAACATCTAAACAGTTTACATATTTCATGCAAAAAATACAGTTTGTCGTGCCTCATTTTTGTTGTTCATTTTTTATTAGATACTATTATTATGGTTCAATTCCTTTCTAGTACATATACATGGTATCAAAACTGACCAGAGGGTAAATTTGCGGAGACAAATGGCGACGTCACATTTCCGCTTGCGTTCGCAAATGAATTGAACTGAACCGCTTGGAAAATCCCATTTCTGCATCAAGCTCGAGACAATTATCAATTTCATAAAAAAGACGCATCGGAGATGAATGTCGTATATTGGAGTACTTAGTAGGGCCGCTCATTAAAATGACGTGTGATTTCAGGAATACCGTCCCTTTCTGATGAAACAAACATCTCGTTATCTGGTAAATATGTACAAATTATTTATTTCTAACAAAAATAAAATGACGCCCAGGTTTTTATATTTGTAATGATTCAGATTGCAGTGCAGTTTGCCGGTGAAATGTACTGCTGTCTGCAGACTGCATGCCACATTCGGGGTCGTTTTGTCATTCGAAATATGAATACAATGGCTCTGCGGAATGCTGTGAATTACATCCTGTAACAACATTTTTCCCTCAAATAATTCACCAAATTTAACGTCCTTGCAAGAGAGTTTGAGTTATGCTGTGCCAAATCTCTCATTTTCGGACTACGTCCGAACGGGGACTAAAAAACTTACGGATGACAATGTCCAACACTAACAGTCACAATGCCAGCAAACAAATCTAGATATTGTCTTCCATTATCATCAAATAACCACTGCATATGCCCATCGGTTACAAGAATTGGTTTTCTATAATATGTCAGTAAATTGGGATGAAGTTTCTCTTTCCTAATTTTCATAGAATCTTCATAATTAATGCCCTAAAAAAACCATAAAAAACAACAACGTGCATCTATTATAGGCTTGACAAAGTGGCAGTGATTTTAGCCACTTTATTGCTACAATAAAACCAGTACCGCTGTTTTTTTAATTGTGTCATTTACGATACAATATCAGCTAGGGTTTTCACACTCACAACAGACCCTTTTTCATCCTTCTTGAGATCCTGCATTACCCATGAAAACCAAGAATATTGGGTCATGGTGGAATCCAAACAACTCATAGGATTTAACAAATAGTCAGGTGGACACATTTAGAGATCTTGATAAAGTGAGGGTATTTTAATATTGAACTATGAAAAATTAATTCAAGTTCAAAATCAAATCATAATACATGTAACATTATTATAATCAATGGTCACACTGATTTAGATTTTTCACATTTTTTTGACATTTTGTTTTCACCCCTGAGAAACACTTAGCAAACCATCATTGAATCAAAAATACAAATGTACATAAAAAATATTTTAATCTGTCTAAGCAGTCTCAGAAATAATGTAACATTAGTTAATAGAACCCAAATGAAATTGATGATTGATATGGAACAAGAGCCTTTTTAATAAAAACAAGCCAGTCATGGCACAGTCCCTGTTAGTTATCAAATTTAAGAAATATAGTTTTGTTTATAGTAATATAGCTGGAATATAACCATGTCAGAAATATGATTTCTTTAACATTAAAATGATTGACATTTGTATCGGATCGTCAAACAAGTACTTGACCATATTGAGAGAAATTGCTCTGGAACAGCATTTAAAATCAGCCATTTTGAATACATGTATATATATAACATGATGTATAATGAATATATAAAATTTAAATATAATAAGTCACAGCATTTAAGAGATATGGCTCTAGAAGCCCAATCATTAAAACAAAATGGCCGCCAGTCAGCCATTTTGAATACAATCTGAAATATAAAATGACGAGCATCAGGAACCCGTAATGTCTAATGTATATACCAAGTTTGAACGAAATCCACCCATAAATGCTTGATATTTGATGATTTTTTAGGTAAAAAAATGACCACCATTTGGCCATTTTGAATAGGATAGTCAAACCAATATATCTGTTTATCTATGACATGATATATAATGAATATTTAAAATTTGAAAATATTATCAGTCAAAACAAGTCAGTG